GCTTGCAAGGCAGGTGTGGTGCCACTGAGCTAAATCCCCAGCCCAAAGTTTTTATTTTTAGCAGGAGTTTTAGGCTCACAGAACAGCTTTGAGAAAGTTACATAGGTATCTTATATACTGCTTGCCTCCCGTACTCTTGGTCCCAACCTGTTGGCAATATTCCCAGGTGAGTAGCATATTTATCACAATGGATGATCCTATGTTAGCACATCATTATTACTTGAAGTTCACCGTTTCCATTAGGGTTCACATTTTGTTATATATTCTGTAGGTTTAGACAAATGTGCACTGACATGTGTCTACCATTGAACTATCTCCTACAGTATTTTCATCACCTTCAAAGTTCTTTTAAAAAGTTCATTTTTTTCTTCTGAACCCTTGGCAACCACTGATCCTTTTCACTATCTCCCTAATTTTTACTTTTCCAGAGGGACATAGAACATAGCTGGAATAATACACTATGAAGACTTCAGAGTGCCTTCTTTCACAGAGTATATCCATTCATATGCATTCAAGTTTTCTCCATGTCTCTGTGGTTTGATAGATCCTTTCCTTTTAACTGAATAATATTCCATGTCTGAATATAGCAAAATTGATTTATCCATTCACTTCTTGAGGAACTTCTTGGTTGCTTCCATATTTTGACAATTCTAAATAAAGCTTTCATAAATATCTATGAACAGCTTGTTGTATTCTCAGTGGCTTTTAGTTCATTTGGTAAATACTAGCATATAATTGCTGGGTCATATAGGTAAGAGTATGTTTAGATTCACAAGAAACTACTAAATTCATTTCCAAAATGTCTGTACCATTTTGCTTTCTCACTAGAAATGAATTAGAGTTCTTGTTTCTCGACCTCCTTGTCAGAGTTTTGGTGTTATCTGACTTATGAATTTTGGTCTTTCTTCTAGTTCTGTAGTTGTAATGTGTCCAAAATCCTTGATGATAATTTTCATACTGTCAAAAAACATCCATTTTATTGGACCTTTCAATATTATCTCTAAAAACAGGATGATGATGGATGTTTTAACTAGTTATTGAGAGGTCTGATAAGTACGATAGTGGTTCTCATTAGGGAACAGGTGTAATTTTATCTCCAGGGAATACTGTACAGTGACTCGGGTCATAAATGTGGGGCATGGAGAGTGAGGTTAGTCAGAGCCTAGGATGACACAAAACATCCCACAGTCTTGCACAAGACAGCCCACATCAAGGAATTATCCAGCCCAAAATGTCAATAATGATGCCAAGGTAGACAAATTCTGTTTCAGAAATATAGCTATTCAGTGCATTTGCATTATTTTCTCACAAAATTCTGAGAGAGAGAGAGAGAGAGAGAGAGAGAGAGAGAGATCATTAACCATGTTTATATGAGGGGAAGCTGGAAAAGATGTTTTCTGAAGGATATAAGTGAATCAGACACCAAGTCCTTTAATGCCTTAAAAGTCATTCTTGCTTCTGTACAACTTGATTCATGTGAATGTTGTGTGGCTAGTATATTTTCTAGAATGTGGTCCACCCTCCATGCATTCTTGATGAATGAAAGTCTGCATACTGAGAGAGCTGGAACTCTCAGAAGCCTGAGAAAGAGAGAAACCACATTTGTGGAGCATTTCTAGGGTTTAAGTGCTACACCAAACATTTAATTTTATGCAGCCTTCACAACAATGCTGGGAGGTGGGTAACACCAGTTTGGGTTAAGAAATCTGAAGCTTACAAATAGGCTTAGAAGCATTTGAACACAAGACTCACACTTTGTCCTGGATTAGAACTTATGTTTCATGTTTTGTTTTGTTTTATTTTTCCAACATTTCCTGAATTAGAATTCTAATTGTTTTCGCACAGTTTGATGGCTCAGGTTGACCAAAAGTCTTTGTCTGACTTAAAAAGTAAATAGTTATATTAGTCCTGATATTCTAAACATATTTTCTACAAAACGCTAACTCTTGGCTGGGGATTTAGCTCAGTGGTTCCACCGCCTGCCTCGCAAGAGCAAGGTCCCGAGTTTGATCCTCGTTACCAAAACACTAACTCTTAAGTGAATCTAGCAAGAGAATTCCTCTTTATTTGATGGCAAATGAGTTATTTAGTTTCCAGTGTTCTTCAAATGTCATAGAAGCATTTTCATCATAGTGGATGGGGAGGGTTTTTTTTTACTTCATACTTTAATTTTCTCCTCCACAGTCAGAAATTTCTTAAGATAGGTTGGTAATTAATTATATACAGTCAGTACATGAGAGCAAGAATTCCATGCATATTTCTTTGTAAGGAATTGGTGGTTGGTACATTCTAAAATTTTGATATCTCTCCTAAGGTATTAGAAACAAAACAAATCAAAATAAATAAATACAGAATACATAATACTATTTATTCAGATTTTACACCCCAAATCACTTCCAAGTTGGAGGGTTTGTGGAGAATATATCATAAAATACATATAGATATATGAGAGATATATATGATGCTTACTATAAAGTAAGTTAAAAATACCTATAATGGAAGTTGGCCCACTTTGTGTAAGGGAACAAATAGTGAAAATGTTTATTCTTGTAGGCTACATGATTTTTTTCTCAATTTTCACTTTATTATCATAGCTCAATACACTGTATATACAAGACATAGATGTGGCTATGTTCCCAAACTCTTTATTTTCAAATTCAAATTGTGTGCCAGATTGACTAGAAAACTAGTTTGCTAAGCCCTGGTTCACAATAAAGATTTAGTTCTTATAAACACTGTGGTGGAGAATTATGTTATTGGTCTTTCACTAATTTTAATAGATTTATCTACCATCAGAATTTCTTATTTTTTTATTGCACTGAAACGCTTTCTCTGCTCAAAGAAAGAAAGCATATTTTCTCTCCATCTCAAACAGCTACGTAGATTTCTTCTTTCTTCTTGGTTTGTTTGTATGAGAAGAATAAAAGGTAGAACCTAAATAAGTCTCTTTTGTAAATTGAACATGTTGGAATCAGATCTCTCTTGAGAGAACACTGTGAAACACTAAATGTACTTGAATAACAAAAAAGGAAGATGTCTACATATCAGGATGAACTAAGCATAGTGATTATATCTGAGATCAAAGAAGCATCAAAAACAAATCAAATGCTTTAGCCATTTGCTTAAATTCTCCTAAGACTCTTGCATATAATTCAAAATTAGTTTTCTTAATATGTGCTATCCTGTAAAACTGAAGAGAAGTACTAATATAAGGAAGCATTGTCTTTCCTGGATTTCAGAAAAATGGTATTTTTCCTCCTTTTCTCACTTTCTGCATTTGTTAGACTGTTCCACATGGCAAGAAATAGAGACCAGCTCAGGTCATGTTGGTTAACGGGGACTTATTTTGAAGTTACATGGAAAGTAATGAGGACACAAAAAAGTCCCTGCAAGAAAGCAGGGAGGTCAGATGCAGAACCGAAACATTGTTCATCATTGTTCCACACACAGGACTCTAGTGGACTGTCAGCTATTCTTGGAATCCCCCCTCCCCACCCTAGCATTAATAGTCCCTCATGCTTCTGACTCAGTCCTTCCCGTTTCCTTTACAGTGTACTTTTAATTTTGTACTTCTCTACTTAGCTAAATTATATCTCCTCTCACTATCTTAGAGCTTTAGTTTCTTCTATTTTCTACTTCCCCAGTATCCTTACTACTCCATATTTTCTACTGATTACTGGCTCTGTGCTTACCTGTTATTCCCCTCTTCTACTCCTGTTTCAGATGCAAACCCTTTAGTAAAGAAAAATTGATTTGGTTTGTTATTTATCATAGAATACAAGACTGACTCTGCACCAGAACATCACACAGATAGTGACTAAGATGGTGCCTTTGATTCTGTGCCTTTGCCTGGGTAACCAAATGTTGTCCAAACGGCAGGATAATGTGATATAGTGAGTAGACTCCAACGGATAAGAAAAATGGCACTGCAAGCATTAGAGAATCAGAGCATTAATTCCTGTCCAGTATACCTTTATTAGCCTATCAAAGCATTTAGAACACACAGAAATTTTTTCCTTTGGAAAAAACCAAATAAATCCCATTGATTTTTAAAATTTTAAATATAAGTTTATTGTAATCAGGTGGAATGTTTGAATTCGAGCACACATTTATTCTCTTAGTTTATGTGATTATTAATAATTTTTCATATCTGCAATGTTACAGGAAAATATATCTATTTGTTTTGTAATTTTAATACTTTTAAGTTTAAATGTATTTTATAGAGTTTGATCTGTGTAGGAATTTGCAACAGTTTTTTATGTCTGGAAAAACACACATTGATGTTACTACTAATGAAGATATATGCTTTTAAACTGACAAGAGGTTCTTTATGTGCTTTCTTTGTGAGAAATGTTCTGTGTGGTAAGGTATATGGTAATTATACAGCACACATTTTATAAGAATTTCTTGAAAATGTTGTGAAAGAAAAACATATCTAGCTTTAGAATAAATACTTGGTAAGTTGATTTTTTTGCTGAGTTTAAAAATTCATGAAAAATTACATTTTAGCTTATAAATGTTGCAATCTTATAAACCATTTTATTATTGTAACTTATTATCAAGGAAAGAGATATAAATATGTAAAAGCTATTTTTTATTTCTATTTTGAAAGGTGCAATTATTTTTCTGAGTGTCTTTCATTGGGATTATTTTCCTAATTAGCACTGCAAACAAATTAATTACTTTTTGCTACTTCATTAAATAGGATAAATATCCATATTTGTCTGTGCAGAAAAAAAATGTCAAATAATCAATAAATATTATACCAGCTCAATAAAATATTTTTGCAAGTACTCAGTGATTGATTGCATTCTGCCTAAGTCAATTCCAGAAGAACTACAGAATGGAGAAGGATTTGGATATATCGTCATGTTCCGGCCCGTTGGTTCTACAGCTTGGACCAAGGAAAGAGTACCACTTGTAGAATCATCAAAGTTTGTTTACAGAAATGAAAGCATCATGCCTCTCTCTCCCTTTGAAGTCAAAGTAGGTGTATACAATAATGAAGGAGAAGGACCCCTGAGTACCGTGTCCATTGTCTACTCTGGAGAAGATGGTAAATTGTTTTCAACTCTGAAATGGATTTCCTGAGATTTTGCACATTTTGCATGCTGTTCTCTTTGCATTACTCTGTTAAAGATAGTTATGTCTTTTCTGGGTGGTAGAACCTCAGTTGGCCCCAAGAGGAACATCTTTGCAGAGTTTCTCTGCTTCTGAAATGGAAGTTTCTTGGAATGCTATTGCCTGGAATAGAAACACTGGAAGAGTGTTGGGCTATGAGGTAATCTACATTACCTTTACTTTCCCTTATGAATGTGCCAGCTCACCATACAATAACTCCTGTGCAGTACTCCTATACCACTGAACTAATTCTTAGAATGTAGTAATATATAATATGTGTGTGTGTGTGTGTGTGTGTGTGTAGGCAGCTTTTCCTTACTATAAGAAAATACTCAAAAATATTTTCTATTACACTTTAGAATGTCTCAGTCAATTGCTGATTGATCCATTGTTGGTTGACTCCCCAGGGACTGTAGGCAGTCAGTACTGTATGTCATGGTGGGAACATGTAAAGAAAAAGTTGCTCACCTCATAGGAGCCAGGAAGAGAGAGACAGGAAGGGACAGAGTCCCATTATCTCTTTAAAGGGGATAACCCCAGTGACCTAACTTCCTCTCACTAGGCCCCAGCTTCAGAGATTTCAACCACCTCCCAATGGTGCCATGGGCTGGGGACTCAGCCATCAGTGTGTTTTGGGAGAACATCTCAGATCCAAACTATAGCAATATGTAAAGATAACGAGAAAAATGAGAGGAATGCAATCTTTTCAGATAATTATAACCAAGTTAACAAATGACTGCCATTTTTCAAGGCACAGAGTTTCAGTTAAGACAAGTAAGCTTTAGAGATCTGTTCTACATTCCAGCTATCATTAATAATAATGCATTAAAATTTGTTAAGAGAATAGACATCATCTTAGTGGTTCTTACCACAACAAGGGTTTTTTTTAATTGTCAAGAAACTATCTTTTTATTTGTTTTGTTTTTTGGTTTTTGGTACCGGGGATCGAACTCAGGTCCTTGCGCTTGTGCAGCAGGCCACGAAACCACTGAGCTAAATCCCCGGCCCTAAACTATCTTTTTAAATTATTCAAACTACAGTCATTGTGTTTCTTGGGGAGAAGTAAAATCTAATCCTCAATAATTTTGAACCATAGAAGAATTTCACTGGGAAACCTGCTCTGTGAATTGCAGTATGACTTAAAAAGATGTAATCATCTAGGAAAAAGGATCTAAGTAATAAGAAAAATCCTAGATTCTCATTAATCTGCTCCTTTTAGTCTAGATAGAATGAAGTAAATCACATTTAGAGGTTATTTTCTTACAAAGTTAAGGGATGAGGATGTGTAAAGGAAAAGTCATTAATCACCTATTGTTCTTCAACTTGAAAATTCAATGATTCATGAAAATGGGTAAATATAGCTTACTGTGTATTGAAAGAATAAAAGTTTTATTCTAAACATCTTTAATTTTTCCTTCCACTTTTTTCTTTTTACATGAATCCTCTGGTAAACACAATAAAAGCTTAAAATCATATGAGAGGTATGTTTGTCATTCTATGCCTAGAATGCCATACTTCTTAACTGAATGCTGTTTCTCAAAAGTTATCTTTCATCTCTTCCTCTAAATTCTTTTCTAATTAATGTTGTCTTTCTTCAAATTTTTACTGCATTTTTTCCTGTATCATTTCTTTGTGAAGAATTCTACACTTTCTTTTCACATTTATATTCTGACCTCCAAGTTGGATTATAAAGGGTTTAAAAGCAGGTAGTACATTTTATTCTCTTTTGTCTTTTTTAATGTGTCTAAAACAATGTTAACACATGCTAAAGGATTAGTATAAGTTGAATTATTAATTAACTTGTGAGCTGAAGAACTATAAAGGAAATGGTAATAGCAAAATATCATTATTAAAGTCCTTGATTGATGCCATAAAATTTATTTTGTTTTGACTTATTATATGCACTGCGTTAAAGCTTATAACCTTTAGAAAGTTCTAGAATTACCTTATTTTGGTCATTTAAAACTCCAAACTCTCTAATTTTCATTGAAAGTATATACTCACATACAGTATTTTTTATTTCCTTCCTATAAATATTAGATATTGGTTATTTTATGGTTGTGGTATAGCCATTATTTATTCTTGCTTTTTTAATAATCAGGTATTATACTGGACTGATGACTCCAAGGAATCCATAATTGGTAAAATTAGAGTCAGTGGAAATGTTACAAACAAAAGCATCACAGGGCTGAAAGCTAATACAGTTTACTTTGCTTCTGTGAGAGCTTACAACACTGCTGGAACAGGGCCCTCAAGCCTCCCAGTCAATGTCACCACCAAAAAGTCTCGTAAGTATACATCCTACTCCAGGGGACAAGAGTCATCTACGAATAGCAGCATGATGGTTATACTGCTTGTTCTGTTAGGTAGTTTTTCCCTTAGGTATAGACAATTATTGAAACCTTCAGGTGCCAACTAGAATAAACTTGTTTTGATCTTTCCAGAATTCCAAAAGAGGAAGTGCTGAGTATTTAGGTGAAAGAAGATATACAGCTTAAAGACAATGGCTCTGATGTCCTTCCCCAAAATGAGTTAAAAAATGGCCTCCTAGTCCTAGGAACATTAGTTAGATGGTTACTTAATCTTTCAGAGTCTCAGTATCTTCACCTGTGAAATGAGAAGAAAAAAAAATGTATATCTCTTCATAGACTTTTGTTCAAAATTGATAGAGATAATAACAAATGAACATGCTACAGTAAATGCTGAGTAAATGAGTTTTGTTTTGTTTTATCATTTGAAATCTAGACATGTCCTTCTAGGATATCTTGTAGGTTACTTGGAAGCCCTTGTATCTAAAGATGAACTCTTCTGCTTCTTCTTATGTCCTTGATAATTACCAGGGGTCTTTTACATATTGAGGATCTACTAAACAAAAGATGATCATTGATTTTTTTTAAATGTGTAATACTTTACTGCCTTAATTCCTTTATACCATATGTCATAGTTACTTTTTTGTTGCTGGGACAAAATACCTGACACACGCAAGTTAAAGGAGGGAAGGTTTATTTCAGCTCACAGTTTGTAGAAATTTTAGCCCATAGTAGGCTGGGTCACAAGCAGGCCACTAGGGGAGAGGGGCATGGCAGAGGAGAAATCATACATGGTAGAACAGGGAGCAGGCAGCAAGCTGCAACCCTCCCTTTCCTTTTTGTCTCAACCAGGCTACAAGCTTTTTGGGTGGTGTCACCCAGATCCAGGGTGGGGTTTCCATTATCCAAAGCCAGATTTGAGATAAACCAATTTAGTCATCACACATTCTTAACCCAAGTATCACACATCCTAATGCAGTATCACACACTCATGATCCAGCCACCTCCCAAAAGCCCCACCTATGAGCACAATAGTCTTTGGGGGGGACATCCAGATAAAAACCATAACACAATGTGTGGGACAACTTAGATAATGTGGTGATTGTGGTTACCTTTGGCCTCTGAGTCTTGTACACATACTCTAGAATATAAGCCATAGTGATAAATTGGCAAAGGTCTTATTATCTAGACAGCTGCAAAATTTATTTTTTGTGATTGCTTAATGTTACATATTCCTTATATATTATAGATGAATATAAATGATGCATACACTATTGGGAAGCTGATCTGATAACTGCAATGCCTAGTAGGTGACCAGTGGGTAGTTAGCACATATAGCATGGATACAGAGGACAAAAGGGTGATTCATGTCATAGGTGGGTCAGAGCAGGACAGCAGGAAATTGCATTACAATACTCACTATAGCATCTGATTTAAAACTTCTGATTTGTTTATTTTTGGAGTTTTCCATTTACATGTTTAGATTGTGGCTGAACATGGATTAACTGAAAGTATAGAAAGTAAAATTGTGGATAAATGGGAAACTACTGCAGTAGCTGAAATTTGAGAAAGACTAAAACATAAATCCACTGCCACAAGGAAAAAGGAAAAACCTAGATTACCTAGTAAACAATGTGTTCTTACTGCTGTTTTACACTGAGTAAGAATATGTGGTAGAAAATACCTTGATAATATAGTAGTGATAGAGGGGTTTTTTCCCCATGCATATATTCATCATGCTTGAAAAGAACTTAAAGATCCACTTAGTTAAAATGCCTTTGATTAAATGGATGATCCAGTTATATCTACTCCATCAGAGCAGTATTCCAAGACTCTTGTACCAATTCTGGGTATATATCACTGACTCCTGACGTGAAACATAACAAGACATTGCATTTTTATGCTTTAATTTGTTTTTATCTGCTACGTAGAAATTCTCTCTGCTCTTACTCTTCCTAAATTATCCATGAAGCAAAAATGAGGTACTGAGTACAAGAACATCTTGGAAAATACAAAGTGCTACAGAACAGCCATGAAGGAAAGAAATGAGCAAAAGTCTTTCTAGGGGGTGATAATTGTGGACTAAAAATTATTGAACTAGCTCTGCTTCAGTCCATCAAGCTTGAGACAAGCTAGACTCTAAATCATTCTCAAGAATGATTCAGATGTAGCTCTACTCCTCTTCCTATTTTATTCCATGTGTACTGAATCAATGAAGTCACTGCTAGATACCTGTATATATAAGTTGTTTCTGTGGTCCTTTGAGGAGTAGTCTAGCCTTTTTCAGCTAATCTGCAAATCTGAGTGGAAATCTCAAATCAGTTTTAAGATTGCCAAGACGTTTAGTTCTAGCTGATTGAGAGGTGCTAAAGTCACAATAACTCTATGTGTAATTCAGTTTCTATCTCTGGAAAAATCAAGATTGATTGGAAATGTGTAGCAGTAGTATTTCTTAAAAATCCGCAGATTTGTATAGTGATTTACAGACATTTTAGTGCAGTTATTCAGTCAAGACTCAGGTCAGGTTTTATTATACATTAATCTCACTGACCAGCCTAAAGTGGATTGAGACCTGAACAATTTACTTTTGGATATATACATATTAAAGACATATATAAAACTTAACAAATTTTTCTGTCACCTGAATTTACTAGCTTGATTACACATGCAACCTAAATTAAATGGGAATTAGTTTGTACTAACCCATTTAGTGTCTTTAAACAGAAAACTCTGTGTTTGACATCTTTTGTTTAGTTGACCTACTTGGTCCTACAGATAGGGTTGACTGAAATCTGAAATTCAGATTAAATAATAAGAACGTATTGACACAAATATATATATATATTTGACACCCAGCAAGTTTTAAGTGAAGGTTAGTATTTGTTTAATCACCCATCATCTTTCTTGATTAAATCTAACAAACAAAAACCCTTGGTGGTTCCTAATATTTTCTAGTTTTAACATTTCTTGAATTTGGCTTTCACCATCCTGTAAGCTTGAGTGTAGTAATTCATAAAATCAGCAACAAGGACTTGAGAATGAGAAGGTTATATAAATCTCCATCCCATTGTTCTTGAATGACATCCAAACCTATAATTGTATTCTTTGATATTCCATATCATAGACATTGTGAAGATAAATAGTAAGGTTTCCTACTGCTGAGGTAAAAAATTGTCACAAGCAGTATTTTAAAATGTACAAATTTTTATCATACATGTCAGAAATGGGTCCATTGGGTGGGAGAAAATGTACTAAGAGCTGCCCTATCTTTGTAAAGTGTAAAGAAGAATTTGTTTCCTTGAATTTTCTAGTGTGTAGAAAACACCCACCTCCCATGGCTTCCAACTTCTTTCTCCATTTGCAATACCAGCAATGTGTGGAATCTATTAATCTCTGTCTAATTCTGACCCTTTTCTTTTGTGAGCACAGCTCCTCCAACTCTTAACTCTCTTGCCTGCTTCATTCCTTCTTAAGTACACTAGTGTCTACACTAGACCCACTGGAGCAATACAGAATTATTTCTCCAGCTCAGGACCCTTAACTCAATTATATTTGTAAACTCTTCTTTTCCACAAAATAATAGAATGCCAGATTCTCAGGATTAGGACATGTTTGAGAGGCCCTTATTCTGTCTCTGCCTACCACAGTTATAGAATACTGAGCACTGATGTCTCCCCAAACTTGTGTTAATTTTTTCACATCGTATTTTACTTATACAACAGATCAAGGGATCTGGTATCCTGATTCCTAGGTATGCTCAGAAAGTTTTTGTTGTGGAAGTTTTTTACACTGATACACTATAAATATAAAATCTGTTTATCTTATGACCTCTGTCTTAGTTTGTAACTTTTATCTCTGGCTATATATTCTCTTTCCCTGTGGACTCTTAAATCTTTGCTCTAAACCTCAAATTTTTCTGGCATTTTCTTCCTAAAATGTCTCTTTTGTCCCCAAATGTGCATAGTTTTATCTATCTGAGAAAGAAGACTAAAAAGATCATGCTTTAGGACTCACACAGTTTGTTTTAAAGTTCTTTTCTATCCCATTCCTCAATTAGCCCTGGCATCTCTAGACTCACTGATATTTTGAAATTTAACATTCTCTTCATGTATTCTCTTCAGGTATTTCAGTTTATAGTGTCCCTCATGTGCCTATTATCAGTCAGATATCCTTTCTGTTGCTCTATAACTTTCCCAAAGTCCACTTTTATGTATTTACATTTTAGGGAAAAGTTTCCATATCTTTGGCTTATTGTTAAGACAGTATCAGGAAGAGCTATAATGAGACTTTAGAGTGAGTGAAGTGTGAATGTGAATCCTAGCTCAGCCATATACCATCTATGTGACAGATCTAATTATTTGATAATTCTGAATATTCTTTCTCCTTTGTAAAGCAGAGATGAAGATACTTACCTCTAGAGTTTGCTTAGATGACTATAAGATACAACATAACCATAGTTAACCCAGTAGCTGCCATGCAATGAATGATCCATGCATAGGAATGTGTACTATACGTCTGTAAAGATGATATTACCTTTTCACATTTTTTAAAGTATGAAGACACAGCTATATGTTACTTTATTTCTCTTTGTAAATTTGTTGCAGAAATTTTCTTCAGTGGTAATCAAAGGGCATGCAAAGCATAGATGAGAAATGGCTTTAATGAAATGTTGAAGATAGTCCTGATTCTAAGAGCTATCCTTGCATTTAACTTTGATTTTCCATGTCTTTGAGATGATATCATCTAAATTGTGGTGATGGCCAAAATTCTGCATCCATCACACATTCAAAGTGTCACTATCTAGATTTTTCAATCTAATGTTTGATTTTTCCTTATAAAGTCTGAAAATCAGAGCACACCTTTACCAAAATCTTTGCTTATTTTAATTGGCTAAGCTAAAGATAAGTCAGAACCTTTTTTTTTTGATGATGATGATTCAGTCATCCACTCAAGAAGTAGTGCCTTTGGTGAGCCACTCATGGGCTTAAAGGCTGAGGATCCTTGCTTTCAGGCAATTTCTCGTTTAGTGGAAAAATACCTAAAAAAAAAAAAAGACAGAAAGTCAAAGAAATGAAATAATTATAGATTTTTAAAAATATCATGACAAAAATAAGTAGCAGCTAAGATATACATAAGAAGGAACCTCTGTGTATTTGAGATGACCTAAAAGACTAAAGAGTTAGAAGACAAAAGGACTTCCATGCTAAAGAAGTAGCATATGCAAAGATTCTTAAATGAGTTATTATTGTGACTGTTGATGATGATGTGTTGTTATTTTTATGTATCAGTGATCTACCTGTAAGTATCACAGCTTAGTGAAAAGGAGGCCTTTCCAAAAGACAACCCAGAGGTACAAATATCCATTCAGACATCACCTATATGGAATTTAGGTTTACAATGAAAGAAATAAAAATGTTTACATCATTTGCAAAAGGAAAAGAAAAAAATAAAACAAACTCCTGTTTATGTAGAAAGACATATTCAGACACAGTAACAGTAAGTGTTTGCAAATTTTGGCACAATTTGGCCCCTGACATTGACTGACTAGCATTCTGTACTGGGTTCTTTTTTGCTGTAAATATGCAATCAATCCATATTTAGACATAAAGGAAGCGTTAAGCTTTTATTCCATCTTGCAGTTATGTTCTTTCTTTTTTGCCCAAATGTCAACCCCATGCTGTTACTTAGAAGTGTAACATAAGAAGTTGTTTTTGAATTGAGTTCACAGTGTGAACTACAGTTGAATATAAATGCCATCTACAGAAAAATTGATTACAGGAAAACCATTAGAGCTGTGGAGGGCTACTTTAATGTTGCTCTGTCATTTGATTAATAGAAAATGATTCAGTCTTTGGAAATTGCCTGAAAAGATTTAAGAAATAGAAAAACTATTTGTTTGTTGAGTATACTATTGACAAACTTTGTACAAACATCACTACATGTGTTTCTTCTTATCCATGTGACAGTTTTGTTTTTTATGGTAATAGAAATTTTAGTTGTATCATAGACATTTGCAATATACTTTAATCAGCCACATCAAACCAGACCTGTTAACGGTAGTCATATTAAAGAAATAGCCTTCTAAAGCATCTTAAAGAAATGTTTTGTATTCGTTTGTCTTGTTTTGTTGCTAAATATATGATATTGACATTGTAAAAACATTCATGGTTAGGGAAAAGAAACATAGACTATAAGAACTTCCCAGCTAATTAGCTAAAACTTCCCTCATTTTATCCTCTTTTGAAAAAGCACATAAAGTAAACAAGTAGGAGAAATATTATTAAAAGACAATCTTAAATACAATGCTAATTATATTTAGGAAGTGAATCATTTGCAAACTTTGGAATTATATTATTATTAACTAACACTTTGAACACAATTCAAAAATTATGTCATAATACCACAGTGGAGAACGGCTCCTCTTAGCAAAGAGAATTAATGTTTATTGAGTTTCTGAAGATGTACCACTAACAAAGTGAAGAATGTTTCATATTTTATTTCACATAAGCAAAGAATCTTAGAAACTAGGAGTTATTAGTATCATTTCAAAGATAAGAAAACTAGGACCTGTTAAAAAGATTTGATACAAATACATGTCTCTTTGTCCTCAAAAGTGAATTATTTCTCCACTATCCTCTGTAGTAAGTAAAATAAAAGATTTTAAGTAATCCATATAACTGGCCATTCATACCAGTGTGTGCTAATTTCTGTTAGAATCCTTCTTATTTTATGCCCATTGGATAACAGGCTTCTGCTTTGATTGAGGAAACAAATGTAGACATGTCAATGGCAAGGCTATTACCACGGTCACAGACTGCTCATCTACACAGCTGGTAAAAGTCAATTCTTTGTCTCCCTGCCTGTTGCTTCACCAGTGGACTCAAAATGTTGAAAACAACATTTTTCTCTAAAACAAACAGACACAGCAATAAATGAAACCTTTAGAATCCCTCCTAGTGACATTGAGAGATTGAATTTATATTTTCTGTGTATTGATTGTATGATGCTATTAATGCTAGTGTTTAGTTTTAAAGAGTAGACATAAAAAAGAAATGTGTCCAAAGAGTATACTAGATATTAAATCTGTGATATCTTGTGAGATTTTTTTTTAATACTACTTCTTTTATAGCTGAGTTTTGGGATAAATTAAAGTAGGATAGTTACAAAATCATTATTCCTGTCACAATAATGTGAAAGTATTATTCAGAAATAAGGGTAATGATAGGCATGCACTGAATATTTACTAAGCATAGAAATGTCTGACCTTTAATTATGGTCAGGTGTGTATTATTAAAAAAATATCTCAGGATATGATCAATCCAGTTGAGATGCCCATCTTAAAAGTGTATGAATTGCTGTGAATCTGATCATGGAAATTGAGCTGATCACAGGAAAGTATAGTGAATGGATTGGCCACATTGTGTTACCAATGAATCTGCCCACAATTAATACATAATTGAAAGGACCTGAAACAAATTGCATAGGAGCTTGAGCATTTTTCTTAACCATCTGATTGCACTCACTTTTTAAATGCCTCCTATGTGCCCATTATGTTTTAGTAATACAGACTTGAACAGGGCACATGCTCTCAAGAAATTAATAGAAGCATATGACTAAGAACAATGATATTTCAGTGTGGTAAATCCATAATAAATATAAACAGCCGCATAAGAGAAAACATTTCTATCTACCATATCCCCCTTATCCCAAATGTGGCACAAGTGACTGAGTGTACAAATGGGATATTGGAAAATGTGTAATAGCACAATGAGAGACACCCTAGATGCACCGAAGTGTTAGTCTTGCAGTGATTTATAAGATATGAAACATAATTTGAGTCAAAAATCCAAAGAAATCATTTTCATTTCCATTAGTCTTATAATGAGTTTTGAAGCTCATTTAGCTTTAAAAATTCAAAAAAGATGCCAAAAGCATCTTGCTGGGCAGTTTTATCTTTGTTTCTGCTTTTGAGCTAAATTATTTTAATTCTCCCTTATTTTTAAAATCTCAAATAATTATGTGGACTCAAATCATTAAAAACAGCATGTTGTCATGGAGAAATACAACCTGGAGATTGGAAACCAAAAGACCATGAGTCTGATTTGATTTTTCCATTTATGAGCTGTATACTTTTGAACAATTGACTAAACCAACCTAGTATCTAGGTTTCTTATATGTAAATTTCTCTAGTTGGGCAGAATCCACTATTTAATAGGTTATTTATAAATCCTTCCTCCTTTCCTTCCTTCTCAGTATCTCTATCCTAGAAAATGTTAGTTTTAAGGAAACTGTACCACCAGTTTTGATTTAGAAATATATTGTGGATGATCAACCCATTTGTGAGTCTCTAGATTTTCAACAGCGCTGTTTATATCAGATGACATGTATGACTCTAACTTTGTGCACAGCTGATTGCTCTAAAATAGACATTTGGTCAAATCAAGTCAATCATCAACTTTCTCATAGGAATTCTAGCCAGGACTGTCTCTGAATAGAGGATACTTCAAACTTCATAAATTGTGCACAGCTGAGATTTCTGCCACACACTCTGAGAATGACAAAAAGCCCATGTCAATGTGAACATGCAGTAAACACTGCTATGAAAAGCAGAGAGAGGAGGAATGTCTTGGTTATAAGAATTTTTTTGTCTCTTGAAGTACTGGTGCATTTTACCATGAGTTCTAAGAGTTGCTCTATATATTTAAAAGTCCATTACAAATATTTTGCTTAAAATTCTTGAATTAGTTGTGTTACAACTAAACAGTACCAACTAATAAAATATTAAAAAATAAAAGACTATTGTATTAGAATGAACACCACTTTACTGGTATACATAAAAGAATTGGAGTTCGATCCCTGGTACCAAAAAAAAGTAATTAATTAATTAATAAATAATATCTTTGGGCCAGGGATTTAGCTCAGTGGTTCCACCACCTGCCTTGAAAGCAGAAGGACCCGAGTTCAATCCCTGGTACAAAAAAAAAGAATTGGACCTAGGGCCGGGCATTTAGCTCAGTGGTTCTGAAGCCTGCCTCACAAGTGCAAGGAACCAAGTTCGATCTCCAGTACCAAAAAAAAAAAAGAATTGGACCTGAACCTGTTTAACATGATCATTAACTGATACCTAAATGCAACAGTAGATAATAGGACCTCATATATTAACATAGGATAAAGTAAACAAACCAACAGCCATTATATATAAATAAATACAGGATATTCAGCAAGCCATTATTAATTCATGTCTATTACAAAGATATTCTCCCAAATGGCCAGAATTTGAATAAATTTGCTTACTCTGATTAGAATTAATATATTTCAAATAACACCAAAAGCATTTAGTTCTTTCTATGCTAATCATTGAAGATTTATATTTCCCTTTCATGTTGATTTATCAGACAGTGACCATGAGCTAATTCATATTCATTTGGATCTTTGATTATCTTTTAAAGCTCCAAGCCAACCACCAGCAAACATTGCCTGGAAGCTGTCAAACTCTAAATTGTGCTTGAACTGGGAGCATGTAAAAACTATGGAAAATGAGTCTGAGGTTTTGGGCTACAAGGTGAGTAGTTTTCTCTTAAATCATATTAGTTATATGACTAAGGAATCAAACATGTCACAACTATACGGAAGGCAAATTTTATGCCTATGGAAATATAGGAATATTTTTAAATAAAATAGTTTGAAAATACCATCGCGGCTTTTTAATTCTTTTTTTTTTTTGATACCAGGATTGAACTTGGGTCCTTGCGCTTTGCGCAGCAGGTGGCGAAACCACTGAGCTAAATCCCTGGCCCTGCTTTTTAATTCTTTGTTGCAAAGGTTTTATATTTGAAATCCCATAATACATTATAAAATATCAAAAAATAAATTCTAGAGGATACAATATTTATTTTTTTGTTCAAGGGACTCCCCTTGCCATTAAAAGATAATGGTGTAGACCCGGGGATTTAGCTTAGTAGCACTGAGCCTGCTTCTCCAGCACAAGGTCATGAGTTCGACCCCTGGTACCAAAAAAAAAAATATATATATATATAAATAATGGTGTATTGGGAGATAGATATAACATATGAACAATATCAAATAATATATTCAAATGAGATTTATGTAAGCTGTAGATGATGTGCTCTTTTAACAACATAAAAGGGGACCTAATCAAATAACCTAGAGCACTTCATGTCTATCAGTGGTGATAGCCACTTTTAAAAGATGCATATATTCAGACTTTTGATCCAAACTAAACACAGAAAGCACTGTGGTTAGTGCTTGATCCCCCAGCAAAGGGATAATAGCCTCCAGGTACTTGATTACTAGAGATTACTGTTATTCCAGAGACACTGGCCAAGAGAGAAATCCTTTTCTTAAGAGCAAATTAAAGAAGAGGCATCACCTGGGTACTGCATTTCCATGTGATGTGTATACTGGTTATAATGATATGCCTGACCCTGTTCCAAAATGGTGTCTGAAACTTAGAAAAGCAGCAGAAGAGTCCATATTAATTTGATGCACCATTTTATTCAGATTCTGTATCGGCAAAACAGACAGAGTAAAACTCATATTTTGGAAACAAATAATACATCAGCTGAACTGCTGGTTCCATTTGAAGAAGACTACTTGATTGAAATAAGAACTGTCAGTGATGGTGGAGATGGAAGCAGCAGTGAGGAGATTAGGATTCCAAAAATGTCAAGTAAGTTCAGTCACCGTGCTGTTGTAAACTTTGAATCTAGACAGCTAACGTATGCAATCTGCACTCCAAGAAACTTTCCAAATCTTATTAAAATGTTGGGCTAAAAAAATAAAAGGGCTGTGTTTCCATTTTCAATTGTGAGCAAGAGATGATGAGCCAATTTTTCTTTAAATAATCTCTCAAGTTTTCACATGCTTATAAATTACAGTTTTATGTTTCCTCATTTGAAAATAAAAAGAAAGAAAAAAACAACCTTACATCCTTGGCGCATAACTTCACAGTTTATTTTATTGGCACAAAACTTAGTTTTTCTATAAGTGTTCAGAGGTTTCTTAGAGCAAGTATGGCACATAAGAAGCTTGTATATATACACCCTTCTTTCTAAATGCATGACAGACATCACCAATCAATCCTGGCCTTCATGTGGAGCTGAATTACAGCCTTCAAATTCTTCTCAATAAGGGTCTCTAGGCAGGCCAAGATCAGTCAGTCAGAGTTAGTGTGTGATAATAATTTATTATTTTTTATTTAGAAGAACTACATACTTATCTGGCTGAGCTCTGACAAGGTGCAAGTCATTAGGCACCCAAAGCTTGGCCAATTTGAATCTGCACTTCAAACACGCTTTACCAATTTGGAATTTTCCTTTGTATTTTTACATTTAACACAGACATACTAAAACAAACAGTAAGGGTGCTTCTTAAAATTAAATATAATATAAATTAAGTATGACAAGATATATAATTAGAACAGAAATATGAATATGTATTTTGTGGTTTGAAGAATTAATCTAGCAAAATATTTTACTTTTACACAACATATTTTGATTTGTTTTTATGTTTTGCAGGTTTGAGTTCAAGAGGAATTCACATCTTAGAACCTACTGCCCATTTCCTGCCAGTTGTTGTTGTGACTTTTTACTGTTTTGCTATTGATCCACTTATAAGATGAATAAAACCATAAATCTACAGAAGTTTTCTGAAAGCAAATCATTCTTTAAATATGCTGTCCAACCTCTGTCACAAGGCACATTCTTAATACAGACTTGTTTGGAAAGAAAAAAATGTATATTATTAAGATCTTGTAAATATCTGTGGTACATTAATAAAACAATTTTAAACACTTTTGAATTTTAAAGTTCACATGTGATTATGTTCCAAGGTGCCAAATCAATCTGTGAAAGTGTAACTGTTGTGTCTTTCAAGTAATTTATAGAAAGAGTATGGTATAAATAGGTTCCCACAATGATGATTGATACAAAATAGATTTGAATCTAAGTGATTTTTACTATGCTCCAGGAAATTTACTTCAGTATTTAAAATTTGCACCCAAATTCAAAATAAATTTTAATTAATTGTTATAGTGAGGATTCTTTTAAAATATCAGCTATTCTGAAGCATGGCATGCTTTTATCTCTTGATCAAGTTGGAACAAAAAATATTTTAATTTCATGATGATTTTCTCAGCTCACTTCTTAGGAGATTCAGTAGTGATTATTAAGAAGAAAAGTTTGCAAAGCAAGCTAAAAGAACATCCACTTAATATAATCTTAAGATAATTCTGATACATAGTACAAAATTTGTTTATGGTAAAATTTACTCTTTTGATGATTCCATATTATACTAAGTTAAAGTTGCATGAACAAGTCTCAGGTAATTATTACAAACTGGTACCTCTGTATGTTACTTTATTCTTATACAATAAAGAAATCTGGGAACAGAATTATTTGACCAGGTTTTCTACATTTCGGTCATAATAACCCTGCATTAAAAAATTTAGAAAGATATGTGGGTTGACACTCTGCAATGAACCAATTCAGCTAGTGGACTCAATTCTTGGAATTGCACAATCTGGAGAAACCATAAAGTGAGTGCCACTCTGAAGTCATCCATTTTCATCACAAATAGCATTGAAAAATCTGATCCTGCTGCCAGCCTGGTTTACTGTATTGGGGGACTAGGAATAAGAAAGGCTTATACTACTTTTTCCATCTTAACATGTATGAACTTTTAATTATATTGAAAATTTTTGAACTACTCTCATAACCCTCAAATAACACAATCCTCCAAATTCGGTGTGTTATTTTTCAATGCTAAAATAATTTAGAACTCTAAAGTGTCCATGTGTAGTCAGCAACAAAAGAATATTAGCTTTCCTTAGTTTCAAACTTGCTCCTCCCTGTATAGTATGTAAAACACACAGTACAAATTAATGAGACTGTTCTCCTCAGTGCTGGAAGATCCAGCTCTGCTTTTAGGGATCAAAGCAAACAACAAATATTATTCGACACGCTCATGTTAAGAACCATGGGTCCCTAGGAGCCATGGTTGTTGAAAAGCAGGCATCAGCAAAGGATAAATAGAAAAGGAAGAAGTACATGGGACCCCTGAGTATCTGGCTATATCTAATGGCTATCACAATTTGTGATATTTGCCAACAGAGTTGCAAGATAGAGGATCAAGAAGACCACAAACACTATTTTCTCTTCTAGAACATCTTGTGTTAACCCAAATAGAATGAATGCAATCACATTGTTATTCAGCTCCACAGCTACAGTAAATGTAGAAAGAACACAGCTGAGAAATGGTTGATTTGCAAAGAAAATTGGTAAAGTAATGATTTGTCAGTGACAGTGGATTTGAACTCAATTAAACTTTGCAGTTGTAAATAGAGCAACATACAGAATCCAGTGAATCTCAAAGATTTGTCCTAAATAATAATTACTTGGGGAACTTACTCAAAAGCTGCTCATATTTTAAACAGAAACATTGACCCAAAGTCTTCCTGTGTGGGACAAAGATTTTTTGTTGTTGTTGGGGTCTGAGGGTGAAAAAATACTCAAACATTGTGTGTGCTTTCTGCCAATGTCTAAGAATCAGTGAGTGTTTTATATGGCATTAATCAAGTCAATGTTATGTCTTAACTAGTTTGTTCATATAAAAATTAAAAATTCTAGTGGACACTTTTATGTGTATACAAATTTATATATGTGTAAACACTGTATATGCTTTTCAATTATTGCAAAACTAGAAGTATGAAATTTAAAATGCCTTTTGAAAAAATACATTTCTTGATTTGGATACCAGTTTGCATTCACTTTGCTATCTTGCCTGGATTATGCTTTAAGAAGAAATTATTTCTTCAACTTTTGACTCAGGGTGGCCATAATTGTACATTCATTTTTGGTCTGGACTCATGAGATATTTGAATAAATCATTGAGGATGGCATTATTAAGGAACATTTTTACATATTTGAAACAATCCAGGGCTCATGTTAAATGTTTAGCATTGAATCTCATGTCTTATGGGTCGAATTTAATGTGCCACTTGTTATACACCTCTAATTTGAATAATGTCTTTACTGATATATGATATTCTTACCATTTTTCCAGAGGTTTTTGCATTGATCCAATTTTTTTCTCTTAAAACGTATTTTTTAAATTTCATTTCACATTTCAACATGCAGATGTTTTCCCATTGCTGTACACTAGTCCCATTTAAATACATATATATGGATAGAATTTCAATCATTCTTTAATATTTTACCTTCTGATTTTCATGGAATAGGCATAACACAATTATCCATTTTAAACACTGTAAATTAACATCAAAATTTCATAACTTTCACTATTTTTATTTAAATTGTTTTCAAATTTCTACTCCCATAAAAAACTTTTGAGTAAATCTCTTCTCATTTAATATTTTCCACTTTAATAATATTAAAATTAATTATGAGGATTGCTGGAACATTAATATTTATGTATATTTTAATAATTTTAAATTATCAAATATTTTTCCAATTTTGTTGTCAATATTGACTAAAGACATTTTAGTTCTAGAAAAGACACATTTCACAATAAAATATCCAAAGTTTACATTGGATTACAGTTATAAAGTACCCTTTAAAAATACATAATTTTTCAATCTCACTTTCCAGAGATAACTGTTAATTCCTCACATATTGTCTTAGATTTTTCAGAGTTATATATGTACATATGTCTGGTAAAATATCCCTTTTATGTACAAATTGGATTATTATTTCCTATATGTTCTAAAACTACAGTAGTATAAAACAATTATACAAAAATATAACCTGAGGCAATGTCTTACTTGCTCGGTTACTAGAATAAAATTTAGGACATATATTTTTTTAAAAAAAGAAGAAACATGGGTCCAAGATACATCTTTATGTGTCTGACATATGGTCTTAACAGCCTTCTTAACTTGATGACAGACGAGATATGTGTCCTCCTCCCCAGACTGGAGATTAAGAAATATTCTCTACTATTCATGTTTCTACTGATTCAGTGAATTAATACATAGGCATTTGTGCATAAGTCCAAAAGCTTCAGTTTTTATCAGTCTAATATATATTTTCAGAGTGTTATTTTAGTTCATAATTTCTTGAGAACTAAAAGTCTGTATTATTCAACATCTAACATGTAGTTTATATGTTCATTAATTAATAGAAAAATTTTAGAATATAATTTTTACTTCAGTATTAAGCAGTTTACCTTATACTTTTCTATTGCTAATGAAACTTGAGACATGTATTTTAACATCTACGTTTCACTAATGTCAGGATTGCAGATCATAATGTACATAGAGTGTTTTGCAATGCCTGGGACAACATAAGTATTCTATAAATAGAGATGTTGACATCTGTTGCTATGAATTAAACCTCTAATAAAACAAATTACTACAGTTCTTTAAGTGTTCAATGTAGTACAAAACTATTTAGCTTTTTTAGGTTAGAAGCCATAATAACTTCAAGAAAAGTGAATTGTCCACCTACTCAACACTAAAAAGCACTGAAGAATGAAACAAATGATTGTCTTCTCATTTAGGGAAATATTCTCTACCATATACATAATCCTATGGAATTCAGAAAGATTTCCAGTGGATCCTTTATTGACTTGATTGGATTATTATGATAAACTCTTAGAAACATGATAGCTCATTTTTATGTTACTTACAGGGAAGGAAAAAGATGTGACTGTGCCTAGAATCAGCAGGAGCAAGGAGTAAAGATTGGGAGAGTTGATACACTTGAAAAAATGAATGTGATAAGAGAACTAAAAAGCTATAGGCTCCCCACATAATGTTGACTTCAAACTCAGCTCCATTTTCTAACATCTTTTCTTCACACTATAATCCTTCCACCTCAGTCCTCTTCTCCTACTTACACCAGAGGATGGCTGCTCAGAGAGCAAGTCTGCTCTCTTTGAAAGCATGTAAGTGCGACTGGTGAGGGATGACCTGGAACCCATATGGAGTCCAAATGCTATAATATAATCATTACCACTCAGAAGAAAATCCAATACTTTTATGCTTCTATTGACTATATACTTTGTATGTGCCACAATTTGTTACTTTATTTGCTTTAAAAGTACATATTTAACAGATTTTAATGGAATTTTGGAATTTCTTAATCATATCCTTGTTGAATTCAGTACTTGTATCAGTGCGGTTTCTCCAGAGAAACAAAACCATTAGAGTGGGGTGGGGGGGTGGAGGGGTGGAGAAAGCATTATAAGGAATTAATTCATGAGATTGTTCAGGCCAAGAAGGCCAGGTAGTCTAGATCCAAATTGAGTTCAAGTTTAAAACAGAGCTCTCAGTGGAATGATTTAAATACTACTCTGTTTGTAAAGCAGTGGGATTATGAGCTCTCAGAGAACCTTTAAAGTCCTAGAATTTTATATTAAACTATATAGCATGACCACTTGTTGTACAAGGCAATGTTTTATAACCCTTCACAGCCCACACATACTCTGAAATGCTTTCCTAATTTTTTTCTGTATTGTCCCTGGTTGTGTTGAGCTTTCTTAGCTGGAATTTACACTACTACAATTTAATATGCTTTTTCAAACTACAAAAAATACTCAGAGATACCAACCCTGCTCCATGGGCCCTCTAGAGAATCTCTGATATATTGGAATATTTCTTGAGAGCAAAGCTGTAAGAAAATTGTCCTTATTCAGTGAAAAACAAAATAAAAATTCAGATAGTTTGTTAAGATTTTTGTAATGAATAATACATAAAATATTTGGGGTATTCTGACTTTTGTGCTTTTTGCTTTACAATATCTACTCTAATAAAATTGGGAATAAACGACTATTTTATGTTT